CTGGGTCAGATAAAAGGCTAAATATCATGTAGGAACAATAATAATAAAAAAAAAAATTAATAATTTTAAACGCCTCCAAACAGAACAAAGATACAACATTTTGCTAGTTTTTAACTTTGTGAGAAATATAATGAGTATATATTTCATTTCTAAACTTGAGACAAAGCAGGTCACCGGTAAAAATTTCTAAAAGCCCATTCTAAAATTAATTTTAATGCAAACTAATGATCACATCTATTAGCATGCAGTATCAGAGATGCATTTTGAGCCCAGTAGCAGCTGCTATAGTAATTTTGGAGAAGATATATTGCATTCTTCATGAATAACAAAGACAATGAATACTTAAGAGTGAAATTCCGATCAGACTCAGGTGTGAAATGTCTCTGCACTAGCCACATTATACATTCATCTTTATATATATTCATGATATCCAATTTATCTCACCTACCAAACCAGACTACTTCTCACCATTTCCAAATGTGCTGTCCAGTCTATATAGTTTATGATATTCCATAAGAAATGAGCCCCTAGACTTCATTTGGGAAGCTACTTCTATCCTATTCTACTGTTGTGTCGTCTTTCCACTTTGTATACTACACTTTTTGCATTCCCTTCATAGAACTGAAAAACATCCATCTCTAGCTGTCTTTTACGCCTATAGAACGGGTGTTCTTTCTTGCTGAATTATTACCAGCTGCATTCAAACCTGTTCAGATATGAGCATTGCTTTATCACGCTCATAGGTCTTCATCTCCTCCTTTTTAATCACTCCCTATAATTTCTCCTGGTTTTATTGCTCTTCCATGAGCTCCCTGCAATGTATCCACATTTTCTACTTAATCAGTATGTGTAACTGACATAAAATTTTTATAACCAGACCTCAAACCAAGTAAAACTACTCCAGGATTCATCAACAGGCAAGATTTTGCTTAACAGTCTCAGAGGAGGAGAAGACAGTCAAACAGACTTTGGTAGTGCTTCAGTTTAAAGAATGAAGGAAGCACATAGTCGTGGGTAAAGCCTTTAACAGCCCGAGATTTGCAAATAATTCCTAAATACATCTAAAAATTGAAGAAAATAGGCCCAGCTGCAATTCTCTGTGGAAGAGGCTACTCTTTTATAATTCTGTTGTTTTATACCCCCTTCCAAGGGTAAAACTGGAAGAAAACTGTACGAATGCCACAATTTTAGCCTTGAGACTTTCAATTTCATTTTACAAAAACCCCACACCCTGAAACCTGTGAAGCTTGAGGACCTATAAGCACTTTGAACCCAAGGATCACAACAACAGTACAAAAACATATACATTCTCATCACAAAGTTGACTCTATGTGTATCCAGTTATTTAATTTAAAGCATCCAGGTTGCACAGCCCTCTTCTTGGACACCACGGTCTGCCCATACATCCTGAATGGCACTATCAGGCTTATTCACAGCCAGACGAGTTATATTATACCTTGACTGGAATTCATCTCTTCAAAGCCATTGCACTTCAAGCTCACAAAATTAATTACCCACAAGGAAAGGTGTCACCTGATAGAATTTAGTCGACCAAAGCTATTCGAGTACTGAATATGTTGTAACACACCGTTACACTTGTTATTAAATATCTCATTATAAACAAAATGTCTAGTTCGAAAATTATCTCTGAAAAAGTAAAAACATTCAAACTGCATTAAAATACCCTGCTGCCAATTAGTAATGTTTAGTAAACAAAACTGATTTTTTTAAGATTTGCTGAGTTCTCATCTTGATTACTTTCAGCATTTATTCCAAAATATACAATATTCAGATCAGTCTGAATCCCATTCTTTCACAGGATAACAACTTATCTTCATATGGCAGAAGGGGTTTTATTCTATGTCATTAAATTATTCTTACTAATTCATGTTAAGGTACTTCTCTGCTACTTACTTGGATTGAGCTATTTTTTAAAAAATTCTTGTTCAATGCCCAGCTTTTCCAAAGAGAAGCATTTTTTAATACTTATTACTGAATTTGGTTCCCTATATTCAAACTGAGCACATTCGGGAATGCTGTTGATTACTGAGCACACTGTGCAGTAAAAGCCAGATCCTGGAGACCAGACAGGGATTTACAGGAAGAAAGGAAGGCTGACAGGCTGTTAAAACCTGTCTCCCACCTTTGTTTGCTTGACCCAGTATTATAATCTCTTTCTCAGTCCCCCAGGCCATTTCACCTAAAGCAGGGAGCTGAAGAGATGGTTTGACATTTGAAGAGCCAGGAAATGTGTGCTCATTCCCATCTGCAGCCTTATATTGCAGTCGTTCCTGCCTTAGGACCGGGTGAAGGGGAGGGCTGATGTGAAACTGCAGTGAGGTGGAGGATACTCCACGCAATTACCAGGATCCATCACAATTAGCTTACTGGCTATATATACCCATTAGTAAACAGTGATGTGTAATATGAATGATGAATGTTGAATGAATGACTGAAATAAATAAATAGACAAGGGAAACAGGTGGTGCCAAAAGCCCAACTTCCCCAGCTATACCTGTTTCAGCGGGATTTCTTCAGCCTACGTCTAGCCTGGCCTTATGGATTGAAAACCCATTACTGTTTGGAGGCACTAGGTGTGCTTCCAGAGCACATCTTCCAGTTCAGTTTTGTCTGAAAGGAATCTAGTTTGCATGCTCCATAAAGCAAGACCAAACACAGTAAATGGATATGATATTTACTACAAAAGCAGATGTCTAATTTGAACTGAAATCCTAATGTAGATATATTCGCTGAAGAGTCACGGTTGGATGTTCCACTCAGCAACAATAGCAGGAGAGCAGCTTTTATGTCTGTGAGCTTCAATTTTTATTTTTTTTTTAAATTGGATCACATGATTGCAGTTCTTAGTATAGCATTATTCAGCTCAAAGTGAACAGGCTCTGGGAACATTTGGCTAAAATCACGACAGGCACTTGCACAAGCTGCTTAAAGACAACAATCACACTTTTTCATAGTCCTGTGAAAGGACCACAGGCATCGAATTCAGGATAGTGTTGTTAGTCCCACTGGGGTTATATGCAGGCTATTTAAGCTCCTTGCTTCTGGGGACTTATTTTATCTGTTTCAAGTGCAGGACACCATCGCTGTTTTTCCCCCACCTTACTTTCCTCTGCCTGAGGTATCTTCCCTTTATGCTCATGCTATTCAGTCTCAGCAGTTGCTGAACTTTCTGCTCTGATTCAGGTGCAGCTCAAGGCCAAGTATGGGCAACACAAAAGACTGTTGATGCCCCATCACCACTCCAATGAGCAAGCTACATTTCTTCAGCATAAATGTCAAAAATAGCCTCAAGTATCTGACTTTTACAGAATGCTAAAAGTCATATCTAGTATTCTGCTTGGGTTTTAGAGAAAGCTGGGAGCTATGGGAACATGGAGGAAGATCTTCACTTATAATCCCTGTACTTTTACACAGTAGGAGAGTGGAATGAAAGCTTGTGAATTTTATTTGTAACTTAGTTATAAATGATGCCTTGGGCACTCACTTGAAGAGAAGAGCTCTTTGATTCATTTTCTGTATAGATCTAAATGTGTAGGACTATACCTCAGTGATAAGCAATGATAGAGCAAATGCCCATTAAAATGAAGATTCAGGAGTGAGTAAAAAACCCATACCTAATCAAACAGATAAAAATTAGGAGAAACTTGCCAATTCATTTGCGTGATGTGACTCTATTTCAGAGCCTTCCTTATTCAGGAAGTTTTGTGCTAATGTGATTACAAAGAGCTGCCATAAAATCTGTTTGCAAAGGGGTTGCTAAAAGCATTGCATCAGTTCTTTTCTTATATCCCTCCCACACAACAGTATGGGGATTCCTGGGGACTTCTAAAACTTGAGAGATCCTTACTGCAAGGTTTGGTTCCCTTTTGAGGAGTAAATTGCAGAATTCCTCAGATTACTGTCAGCTGCACCAGGGATTCAAACAATGCCAGGAAACTAAAAGCAGAACCCCTAAAATATGGATATGTATTTCAAAAGGACATAAACATCATTTCACAAGCAGAAAGATGACCCACTATCTGGTATGACTATGGGTCAACACCATCTCGTTGCTCTAGCCAGGCCAGTGTCACTAACAGCAGCATTCATTACTCCAGATTTTGGCTAAAATTGAGAAACTAATTTTCAAAGTAACTTGTGTTAAATTCTATGGCTCATATAGGTATATGAGGCCACAGGTAATGATGATCATAGTCCTTACTGGTTTTGAAATACATTAGTTTATACATATTTGGGCCCCTCACTACAAGAAGGACATTGAGGTGCTGGAGCGTGTCCAGAGAAGGGCAACGAGGCTGGTGAGGGGTCTGGAGAACAAGTCTTCTGAGGAGGGGCTGAGGGAACTGGGGTTGTTTAGCCTGGAGAAGAGGAGGCTGAGGGGAGACCTCATCGCTCTCTACAACTACCTGAAAGGAGGTTGTAGTGAGGTGGGTGTCGTCTCTTCTCCCAAGTAACAAGCGATAGGACGAGAGGAAATGGCCTCAAGTTGTGCCAGGGGGGGTTTAGATTGGAGATGAGGAAAAATGTCTTTACTGAAAGAGTGGTTAAACATTGGAAGAGGCTGCCCAGGGAAGTGGTTGAGTCCCCATCCCTGGAAGTATTTAAAAGACGTTTAGATGAGATGCTTAGGGACATGGTTTAGTGGGCATGGTGGTGTTGGGTTGATGGTTGGACTCAATGATCTTAGAGGTCTTTTCCAACCTTAATGATTGTATGATTCTGTGATTCTATATATTAACCTCAGAATAAATTCATTAGGTTTCTGAAGGTTTATTCTCCACACCTTATTCATTTCAGTAACAAGCTACACTATGTTGTACGCAATACATGCCTGTATATTCTATTACAACAGTCACTTTATGATTACTATCATGTGAAATTGTATTTTTCCTAAAGATAGGTAAGCAGAACAGGGAAGCTTTTCTTCTGAAACTTTTAGTTATACAAAAAGAAAAAAGTAGTTAACCATTACTAAGTACCTTCTTTATCATCATGACGTATGATTGCATCCTGTATCATATCAGCAAGATTAAAACGAACTCGATGATTCTTTCCATGTTTCAGTTTTTTTACGTAGCCCTCCCGTTTCTGGAAAGCTTTTTCTCGTTCGTAATATGCCTTTATTTGGTCACAGCGCATCCGCTTCACCAGCCGCTGCCGCTGGCCGAGAGGGAGGGACTCTAGCAAGCACTGCTCAATTTCCATCTCATGGGACCGAAAAACATTACATAGCTGGAAACAGCCTGTAAGAAATTAAAGAAAAACACATTTAGATCATGCAACAGCGTGTTTTCAAACGTGCCATGAAACCTCCACCAATTTTCTTGTTGTCCTTTCTAACCAAGTGTAACTCTATCATGTGAGCTCCTCCTACTCGACCAATGCTGGCTACAGAGAGTATATATCATTATCATTTACTTTTTGGAAACAACACATAACTAATTCCATTAAATCACTGATGCATTTTTTAAAAGCTAACTCCGTTCGTGTAAACAAATGTGAACAGAAATAGGTCTAAAAGTTCAAATGTGAGATGGGCAAAATACCTAAATAATTCAATATAATTCAAGTGGCTCGCATTTGCTTACAAACAAGAGACTATTATGCAGAGAAAAGCCAGTCTGATGCCCGTGCTTCCTTTTTATTGATTTTCATCTTGCTTTAGGTTAGCAAATTCCTGTTATTCAGTGAGAAGAAAAATAATCATATCATAATTATAATGAGTTCAGTAGCATGCAGTGGGTACTCAGGCAACTATCTATTAAAAACATCAAAGTAATTTCAGATTCCTAACTACGTGTATGACTTTTTTTTTTTTTTGTGCATTGTATAGAGCCATCCAAATGGAATCTTCTAATGAAACAGTCAGATACTGAAATCTTTGTGTGGAAACCGATCACAAATGTGTCTTTGATTCAGCCAATCCTAACATTCATAGCATTACCTTTAAGTCAGATTCCTCTTTTGTTGTTACTGTTAAATCTGATATTTTTACTGACATTGCAATAACAGCAATGTTCTTTTCCAGTATGTTCTCTTTTCCACTGAGACTGAAGACCGTAAGAGACTACTTGCTGCTAGTTGCTTTTCAGGGGACAGTTCTGTTACAAAAGGAGACTAGTGGAGTGTCAGATAATTTTATTGCCCGAGTCCTTGGATGTGAATCCACACCTTCCACATCAACGATGTAGCCACTAACCTACCCTAAGACCATTTGATGATTCTCATGTTCTACTTTATATACGTACTTAAGTTCTCTTCATATGGGAGCTAGATGCCCAAATTTGTAATTTCTAAGGACTGTCAGCAGCCCAGATGGGAGAGGTTTTCTCTCCTTAGTTTGACAGAAGAGCTCTTGAAGGGGATATAGACTCAAGTCACCTTGGGCAGTTAAGAAATACCAAAATTAAGCATTACTGTGTAATTTTAATTAGGCCTGCTTTTGCCTAACGATTTTGCTAAATCTGTAATTACATCATCAAAAGACCTCTACCTCATTCAGGGCTCTAGCTAAGTAGTGCTGACTAAATGACCGCTTTGTTGTCTCCTTGTCGCTTGACATATGTCTAATCTACTGAATACCATTCAAACCCCGCTCTGAAGGCATAATTAATAATTTTCTGACAGGCTTTTGTAAAAGCTCACATCATCATAGCACATAAGCGCTTCACAAATATTGATTTATTTTCATTAAAAAAAAGAGGGATAAAGGGGCATTCTTATCTACATTCTACTGTAGAACTGAAAGACAATGATTTATTTTTGGTTTAAATCACTAAATTTGGGTGTCCAGTCCAAGAATTCTATATGCTTTTCTTGAAGTTTTTTGTTTTGCTTTAAAGGCATAGTATTCTATAAACTATTATGTATCATAATACCATAATAAAATACTATCAAAGTGATAGTCCTAGGTCTGCATGTAAATCCCTCTATAAACTATCTAACATTATATATTTATGCTGTATTATTTTATATATTGTATAATATATTGTATATTGTATTTTATTATAGAATTTATCATATATTATATGTCCTCACTATCAATTAGAATCCAAGGTCTCAAACCAGACTTCCCAAAATTGAGGAGCATACATTTATGCAAAAAGTGCCCAGAGTGTCTTGTTGAGAAACTCCATGACACAAGCAGATACAGAATACAATTCTACAGGTCAAGTTCAGTCAACTTATTTTAACATAGGCTACCCTTTCCCTCTCTATAATTTCTGTTCCTTTCTTAGCATGCCCCTCTTGTTAAACGAAAATGAGTTGTCAAACTAAAAAATTGGAAAAAAGTATTGGCTTGCATTAAACCAAAACACAAACCATTTCTTTTTGCACATCAAAAGCCAACAGCTCCTTCTATATAAAACAAAATTTTCCATTTGACCTAAAATGATATGTTTCATTTCTGAGCACATGTCAAAAAAGACAAGGAAATGAAAGGGTAGCTCTGTAAAGCTGCAGAAGATGTGACTTTATTCCCCGCTTCAGTCCCAGTGTTCAGAGCATTCAATCAAACAGAAGATCTGTGCTCAGACCATCCTCAGCCCGAGGCAGTTTGCGACTGCATCCCCTTTCTGTCATGATAGGACTTGGGAATGAGCAAACTTCAAATCTTCCCTATTAGAATTGTTCTGCTTTGTATAAAATATTTCAGTGCCCATGCCTTAAGCCTACACAGTATTTTTGGCTTGTAAGACTCTAAGCTTATTCCCCAACACTTCTAAATCTGCATATAATGCCTGCCAACCAGGCTCGCAGCCTCAGTGGGAAAACCAGCTTGCTGTGTTAAACCTTGTTTGACAATGCAGCTAAGAGTCCAGCTGTACAAGAGTTTTACTTCTGCTCTGTTCCTTCCTTCTCTTTTATGAAGGGAAGAAGGAGCAGCCATGCACTTGAGCTCCGACAGGCTACAGCTGAAGTTGCTGTCTGTATCTGGAAAACTCAACTGAGGGTGAGAATCGTTGCTGTTGTTCTAGTCTTAGCTGTAAATCAGTGTTGTTTGCTGACAACAGACTTCAACTGTATCTTTGCTTTTCCTCAGCTTAGCTCATGTGCAGCCTCTGCTCTCAGGAGGAACTGGTAGTGTTTGCTGCCACATCACAGCTGAGACCGGTGCAAGCTGTGGGGCACCTTTGCTGTCACAGTGTTCTGCTCCTCCAGGGTGAGAAATCAAACAAATCGGCTTAATCAGTCTTGGTCAAATACAGCACAGCAAAGACGAGCTCATACAGCCAGATTCCAGTTTCAGGAAGGATGTGGCTGTCTTAGTGTCCTCTGCCTCTCCACTGTGATGACTTTCAGCTGGCATGAGTGCCCATCTATTTGTTCCATGAAGAACAGTGCTTGACTGCCAGAACTGGCCTCACATAGTGGTTTCCAGTGTGTGGCTGGAGTCAAACAATTCAGGCAGATTGAGAAGAGGACTCTTAATCCACTTGGGCACTGGTCACAGCAACTCAGTAATAAGTTGCAGATGGGATTTTTTCTCTCAGCACATCTGGAACCTGATACATCTCAGACGAGATCAGTATCTGACTGTGGATATAATAACTGCAGGTCAGCAGCCTCGCTAGGTTAAGCCTGGATTAAACAACATAGTATAGATGCAGACAAGGCAAACTCTCTAAATTAATCTTTCAGATGCTCATCTTTAAGGCATGCAATGTTCGGTCCCAGTTTTAGAACCAGACAGATCTCTGCTCTGACCGTGGTGGCCTAGTGAGCGTGGGGAACTGCTGACAGCACAAGAGGCAGAGCTTCCTAGCTATCACTCCGAGAGAGCTGGACTCAAACCCAGGAGGGTTATAGACATGCTTCTGGAGGAAATTCTGGGGATGGCTTAGTGTCACTTTGAGCAGGGGGTTAATCACCAACATTGGATTGGGTAACCATGTGTTGAAAACCTCCATTAACACATTCTCCAAGTTCTCTGGCTACCCTGTTCCAGTACTGCACTGCCTTCTATCAAAAATGCCTTGGGTTTTTTTGGTGGCCATTACCCCGTGTTACTACTGTCACTACTGAGAAGAGTTCAGCTTTGTCATTTCTGTAATTATCCTGATAGCCTTCTGCTGCCCTCACTCCACTTCCTCAGTGGCCATCTTACACTGGGGGGACCAAGACTACGCACATACTTGCAGGTGCAGCTTCACTAGCCCCAAGTAGAAGTGGACAATGACTTTCCTCAGTCTGCTGGCCGTACTCCTCCTAATATAGCCCACTATGTCATTTGACTTATTAACAACCAGCATGCAGGGCTGGCTCCCATTCCACTTTGTGTCTGCTGTAACCCCTGCATCCTCTTCAGCAGGGCTGCATCTCAAGTCAGTCAGTTCCCAGGCTGTACCAATGCATAGGGTTAGTCTGTCTCAGCATGAAAATATGCACTTCCCTTGTTGAACTGCCCAAACTTTCTGTTGGCCCAATCCTCAGGATTAAGCTCTACCATTTAAAGTATGCCAACCGCTCTGTCCTAATTTATCATTGCCAACAGCAGCAACAGCTTCAGCTGTAAAGAAAACCTCCAGGAAAAAAAATCCACAACTTTATTAGACAGATGTAAACTGTTACTGTTTAGAGACTGAAAACTCAGATACAGCCAGGCTCAAAAGAGAAGCTATTAGAGCCTCCTGAAGGGTAACATGTGCAGCAGGTCTGCCCATCCTTTTCTCTTCCGTATGTGAGAATAACGGCACAAACTGTCACACTGCACTTGTACAAGAACCTTATATGGGACCCATTCAAATAGCAGAAGATACATGGAAAACGTGATCTCAACCAGAGCTGGTTTTGAGTATGCTAGTCAGGAGGCAGTGTGGTAACATGAGGAAAGGTTTGTTGGTAGGAAGAAAGGTTGCCTTCTGAATCAATTTGCATAAGAGTTTATATCTCATTACATAAAAGATCATATTTGAAGATTATTTCATGTGGTTCTTGCTTCAGTGTATGACAAATCACAGTTATGTACAGTGATTCGATAAGGTCACTGTGACTGTCATGGTATATTGCACTGGATAACTCATTAGCAGTGTCTCCATCAAAACACTGAAAAAGCTTACCAGGGCATTATTTATTTAATGAGATGCCATGGACCAAAACGACAAGAATAAACACGATTGTCGGTATGTATCTGGTTTTAAGGTCTGCATCTTCTGTATAAGCACACAATAGAAAAACCTTTATGAAACACTGAAATATCAAAACCAGATTTCCTTTTATTATATTATATTGGTTATTAACC